ACACCTCTATTTAGGCAGCGTCCTCCCATGAGGACGCTGCCAGATTGTTCTAGACCCCAGCTCTGACTTTCCCGCATTCCTTCGGTTTTGGTATCTTGTGTTTTGACCCGGATTGTTTCTTTGGACCATTCTCTTCTGCCTCGCCCACGGTGTATGATTATCGGACTGTCTCTATTGGACTACGAACTTCGGATTACCCTGGATGTATGTGTTTGCTGGCTCTGACCTCGGACTGTTAATAAGGACATGTGAGTTTTGTGTTGTCACCGTGTCTCGTGTAGTTTCCGTTGTTCAATGTTAGTTCCCTTATTAAAGAGACATTTTTGTTTTACACTTACTCGTCTGGCAGTATAATTGAGTTCACCAAAACTCTTTTCGGCCGCATCACGCGCCGAATCCTGACAAAGGGGGTCTGAATACAGTACTTCTCTGTCACACCCAGCCCAATGGAATCAGCAGACTCCGGCCGGGAAGGGATGGAGGAGTGCAAAATATTTGGTGGTGTATGAATGGCAGGCAGAATCTGATGTTGAGGAAAAAGAAGAAAAAAGCAAAAGAGTTGGAAAACAGAAAGGAATGGAAGAGTGCAGAATATGCGGTTGGGGGTGAATGAGAAGCCAAACTGGACCTGGAGGAGAAACAAAAGAAACAGCAAGAGGAGCTGGGAGAGAGAGAAAAATAATTAAAATGCTATAGCCAGAATGCATTAAATAAAAAGTTAAGTTATTTAGTAAGTAAGGATACAGTGGGGGAAAAAAATAATTTGACCCCCTGCTGATTTTGTAGATTTGCCCACTTACAAAGAAATGAAGGGTCTATAATTTTTATCATATCAGCTTTGGATGTAATATAAAGATGCCACACACCCTGTTCTTCACATTCCTTTTCTAAACACAAGTGAGCAGGATTTTTTCAGTCACTCCAACTGCCTTTTGTTTTGGGTCTTTGTGATGGACATTTCAGTGCTCCCCCATCCTCACCCAGAGCCCTTCCAAACATTCCTGGGAGGAATCAACCCCTGTAGCTGTGGTCACCACCAGTCACCCTGGGGTTTCAACTATCAAAGAGAGCCCTCTGCATATTACACAGTTTACATGGCAACAAGCAAATCTGAGATCTTACAGAGGAACAGGAATACATGAGCCAAACCACCAGCCCACACAGTAGATAGATCATCTACCAATGCCTAGTCAGGGCTGGAAGCCACAAAGCCACTGCTTTAGTTTTCTCAAATGACAGTGGAAAAAAATCCACCATCTGTGGCAGCAGCAGGGCTGAAAAACACCTGACCAATAATTTTACTCGGTCCAAGCAAAACCACTAGATGGTCTACCTGCCTGTCAATCTAACTTCCTACTTGCACACACTCTGCCCATGAACCATTGCATGAACCAAGAGTCTCCCACAAGGCATTGCAGGTGCAGGCAGATGTGTTACTGTTCTGTTTTACAGCTAAAGCTATGGCAGGGAAGGTACCCACAGCAGCTTTTGTTCACAGAGACCACTGTTACAGGCCAGGCCTTCCCCTTTAAGACATGGAGCCTTTTATGTAATGTTGCTATTGTTGCCAGAAGTTGCTACCTGCATGCAGTGTGCGCAGTATGAGAGCGAGAAGACCACTGCATGGATCAGACTCCTTTTACATGCAGCCATGGGTGGGAAAATACCAACAGTAGTCAGTGCTAAGTGTATCGATGGATTGTAATGCAGGTAACTGGGCACCAATGACCACATGCAGTGTTCGTGTTACCAAGACAGAATAAAGCCTGTGTTTTGAACTGAGTTAGCTGGCCTCCCTCTTCACTTCTCCCTGCTGGAAAAGCCCGGACTTCTAAGGCAGAACAGTTGCATATAAGCATAATCTAAAGGAGATTTGAGATTTAACAATGAAATCACTAAAAGATGATGGCCGTCACATGGCTTAATCCATGAAAAAGGTGGCCATCCTTTTCAAGCACTGAACTCATAAAAATGTGATGATACCTATATGGCAACACTAATACAACTCTATGGACACCATCTTCTTGCTCCATGTGAGATAAGCAGGATATGCCTCTAACTGTCATTTCTGTCCTATCAGAAAGTGTGTGTGACTCTTCTCTAGCTATAGAAAAGAATTGGAAGAAGGCACAGGACCCCATACAACGTGGCAGGTAGCTTGCAGCAGAGCCTGCTGCTGCAGCAACCACAACTGTGATCATTCTGCCCTCTTCATTTCCTTTGTTCCTCATCCAAAGAGTGCTCTGTCCATACCTCTCTATGGGGAGCATTCTGCACCCTCATCCTCTATACAGCACATTCTCGACCAGGTCAAAAGGGCATAGACCTACTGTAGGGTTGGCCCTCACTGTTGTTTAAAAAAACAAAGCCTAAAGGAAAGCAGCTATTCACATTGTGCCCTTAAACAGCTCATCTCAACATAGATTTGAATTAAAATTTACCAAATATATACTCTTAGTGTATTTTAGGTGAAGTCAATAAGGTAAGGTGATTTTTAAAGGCAGTGTTGATTTGTTTCTTATCTCTTAATTCCCAGAGTTTCTCTTGTCTTGCAAAGCATTCTCCTATTGTTTCCATTAATGCTCTTTTCATTGATGCCTGATGAGCAGAGGGTGGAAAGTTGCTTTAAAGTCCATTCAATGTGCAAATAAACACAACTGTTCTGAGACTTTCACTTTTAAAAGCATAAATTTAACTTAGATACATATATTGTATATTGTATTGTATATATTTTTCTTATTGTTATTAAATTCTATAAAAAGTCAAAACCAACAACACAGTTTGTCACTTAATCAAGCATATAACCAGGATTTTAGAAATGCTAAAGTCCTAAATCAAACCTTGACACTTTAATCCCGATCAGTCCTGACAATTATATCTTCTGTAGATACAACTTACTATCACAAAGGTCTAACCACTGCTTCCAAAATTTCTCTAAATTGCCAGAACTAAATTCTGATGAGAAATTAGAATCCTTTATCCATATAATTTAACATTAATTGTGTTGCTGTAAGAAGTTGTGAAATTTACACTTTAAAATAAATGGAATCACACAAAGGAGCATACACTTTTGTTTGTTTATTTTTTAATATATATAAAACTCCCCCTAGGTTGCTAACACTTCCATAGTCCTAGAAAATTTATAGATGACATAATCTCAGTGTCCTTAGCGGTAGCTCCAGTCTGGCTTTCATTAGTTTCTTCTTTTCCTACTCATGACTATTGAGCCCAGAGTCCAGTGGTGCATAATGAAGATCTAAATCCTTAAAATAGCTTATATAAAAAAAAGTGCTCAGTAATTTCCTCAAGCAATTGGACACCTCCAACAAACAAGAGAAAATGTGTTGAGAACTATTTTCAGCAGCAGATGATGCACATGAGAGTTATGGTTAGGGCAAATATTTGCCTTTGCTAGTGCAACAAGATAATGTGATATAATGTGAAGTAAGTGCATGAACTTTCTGGAAAGGATTCCCCGAGTCACCAGGCAGCAGGATCCTTACCTCAGAAAGAGTTCACAGGAAAGTCAAGCTTTGTTATGAAAGCAGACGCAGGAGGCCTGCAGGTGCTCTTACCGAGTTCACTGGTGTTGTCTCCACTCTGTGACATGTGTCCCCCACTGGATGGTCCTGGGGTGCCCACAGAGGGTGTGGAGTGGGCGTCATCCATGTCTCTCCATGACGTTGGGTTCTGAGAGGTCAGGGAGAGGTCCACACACCAGGGGACAGGAGATAAGTAAAGAGAAGAGAAGAAGAGAGTAGAAGGGAAAACGAGATGAAGAAGGTCCAGTAGATCCAGCATGAGGTCCATTATTCAGTTTCCCAAAGACACAGAGAGAGCTGTGTGGCATGATCAACATAGTAAGGCAGCAACCAAGTTCTCAAAAATGAGATAAGAACAACATTACCATTCTGTCCACCAGAATCTGAATAATAGTTTAGTAGTAGTAGTTTAAATATAGTTGCAGAAAGGAACGAAGGAACATGAGTTTAGAGGATAGTTGAGTAGCTCTGCACCTTCCTGGCTGTTTCTGTGATGAGTACTGGGGAGAAACCCTGTATTTATTGGGTCGACTGGCCTGGCCACTCTGACAAACATAAACCCAAAGCAAAGAGCAGATCTCCCCTTTCAGCTTCTATGCGTCAGCTGTTAGCCGGATGGTGATCAAATGAAGAGCTCAGCAGATGACAACAAGAAGCAGTCGGACAAAAGCGCAGTGTGAATGAGGCCTCTCAGTGATGGCCCTCTTTTCATAATAGCTACATAATAATTGCAACTCCTTAGTATACACAGCTACTCAAAGAGATGCCATGTGTTTTCACATTTATCAAGCTAATGAAGTTCTTATTTAAAGCCCATCTGTTGAAACCCAATTAACAGGAATAGACAAGGTTTAGCTGTTTAGCTGACTATACAGACACTGATATTTCAAATTTTCTAGATGAAACTATGTCCACTTCTGGTGTGAACTACTCAGAGGATTGTCTTGAGAAGACTGAAGTAAAGGGGTACAAGTATAATGAGAACAGCGAGAATCAGTCTGCCACAGCTCTGCTAAAAGTACTATGTACATTGCTAGTTTGTGCTGCCATATAATTGTTGCTATTAATTTGCATTTAATATTTTAATCTAATTTGCATTCTAATGTTTTATCTATATCTGTGCATTGTTGAAGCACTTTGAATTGCCACTGTGCATGAAAATGTACTATATAAATAAACTTACCTTGCCTAGACAGTGGGTTAATTTTAGGGTTAAAGAGCTCTATCAACATATTTAAAGCAGCAAATAAAATTTTGTAACATCCTTGTTTCAAATCAGACCAGGAATCTTGTTATCTGTCTTTCACTGAATTTCAACCTTCTATTCTCAATAAAAGGCATAACATCTATAGTTTCATTATTGCCTGATGGCAGAAGTGAATGTTTTACAGTGCTTTTCCTGAACATATGTGAGAATGTCAATATAATCTTCAAAACTGTATGTGTCATGTGATGTTTAAATGCTTACTAGCAGGGATCTGCCCTCACTAAATACAGATATGATGAAGCGGAAGGTTTTGGGGAATGCTCAGCAGGTCTGCATCGGTCTCAAACACTGGCAGACCCCCAGAAGGAATGGGGAGCAAGGAAAAGGGTTAAAGTAGAAAAACAAGGGAGGGAAAACTTGGATGGGTGGAAGTATAAGGAGCAGAGAGTTAAAACAGCGTGGAAAAGAAAGGGATGTAGTTCAGGCAAGGTCCCACTCCTGAACTTCAGTTAATTATTATGTCCACTTATTTCAGATGCTTGTTTATCTTTTAAGAATAAAATATGCAAAAGAGGGCAGCACGGTGGTGCTGTGGGTAGCGCCATTGCCTCACAGCGAGAAGGTTCCGGGTTCGTGACCTTTTTGTGCAGTTTGCATGTTCTCCCCGTGCTTGTGTGGGTTCTCTCCAGGTACTCCGGCTTCCTCCCACTGTCCAAAGACATGCGGCTTAGGTTGACTGGTGACTCTAAATGTGTGTGAATGTGTGTGGTTGTTTGTCTGTGTGTTGGCCCTGCAATGGACTGGCAACCTGTACAGGGTGTACCTCGCCTTTTGCCCGATGCCAGCTGGGATTGGCTCCAGCCCCCCCCCGCGACCCCGTTCAGGACTAAGCATTATAGAAATTGAGATGAGATATACAACAGAAAGAAACTGGGTAATTTAGCTTGAGTGGGTCAAAATTAAAATTCATCTCACATCAGCATCTAATTGTATCTCAAATTCCAAATATTATACAAAAATTTGGATTTATTTTCAACCTGCATACTTCATATAAAACAATGTCCTGTAATATCTATTTATCCATTTTAGAAATCTTTCATGACCCCATCATGCAGCAACCATGAACTACTAAATGCTGAATAGTTAATCCTGGGATATCACTGAAACATGTGAGTGAATTATAGACTGTAACACTACCGCTGTTCAAGGTGGAAATTCCATTATATCCAAAAAGAGCAATACCAGCTGCTTGATATCTGACTTTTAAAAAATAATAAAATCAAACTGTTTTCAGCCAAATATAATAATATATTAGTAAAGTTGTTCAATGCAACACTGCTGTTGTTACACTGCAAATTGCAACTTAAACATCTGAATTTGTGTTTTGGTAAATCAACACAGGTGCCAAAATGAGACGAGGCTGTGAAAAGTACACAGCAGGGAGGCAGCCTGACAAAGATCCCATCAATAATCCTGTTGACTGAGAAACACCAGTGAGAGTGACTGAGGCCCAACAGCAAACACAACATTTGTAGAGTAGCTTTGTGCCATGAAGCTCTGCATCGTACCTTCAACAAGGGCAACATGTCATCAGCCAGTAAAACACAGTGACCCTCAGATTTAAAAACCTGCCTTATGAAGTTTAAACTGTTTAAAAAAACAGTATGCTAGTTTTTTTATTAAAAATAAGTTATACTGTAAAAAACTAATTATTCTGGTGGTCACAGAAAACGATCCCATCATTGCAGCTCAAGATTTGCACTCTAATGTGGTCCTTCTGTGAATTTAGAGCTTGCAGATTGACTCACATGATCTGCAAGGTTGGTGGAGGATCCAGAGAGGTCATCAAAGTCTGACTTGCACATGTCTCGCTCCTCTATGACCAGGTCTATGGGCATTTTGCCTTTCAGACAGCTGATATACCGGTGGCAGAAGTTATCACAGAGCTCATGAACCTGTGAAATCCAATATTTTATTTAGATTCTCTGAGTTTCAATTGAGCATGAAAATATTAAATTGTAAGTCAAGTTTTCTTTCATTGATAGAGCAAAGAAAATTACCTTTTCTAATTCTAGGAGATGAAATCGAAGGACTTGAATTGCTTGTATCATCTAAAAAAAATATGTTTTAAAATCAGCAACCATAGAAAGGAAATGATAAAGAATCCTGTGGTGCTATAATGATAACATTACGTATTTCCTTAGTACCAACACCACAGAAATACAGTATTTATTTTTTAAATTTATATTTTAAAATGTATACGAGGTTGCCCCGGGCAAGTCTGTGACATCCTGCTGCGCATAGAGAGCATGACAGTGCAGAAGGGACCATACGATCAAAGAAAGTGAAGAAAGCTCACCAAGTTATCCAGCTCTGGGTTGGAGGAAATTAAAGGTTTCTCTGCATGGATCTGAAGAGCGGAAGGAAATGAAAGCCATTAGTTGGTGTTTTCAAACAAATTTGAATTTTAAAACCAAGAGCGAAGATCAACAGTTCATTGGAGTGAATAATTACAGCCCAGTAAGCATGGTGTGAACTAGGGAAACATGTGTTCCCCTGAAAATATGACTTGCAAAATACTGGGGGGCTAAAACATTGACAACATGTTCACTGTAACAAACTGCTGTAAATTTACAGTGGACTTACATCTTACTGCACTTCATAATTGTAACTTACTGTTAAATATTCATCCCTCACATGTACATTAACAGTTACTGTAATGTGGCTGATGAATAACAGTAGATAACTGTAATTTACCAGCATAAAACAATATTTCCTGTCAAGGCGTATATGGACCCTTTGCAAGTCCAGTCATTATTTATCATCATCTTACTGATTATTCATGTCTCACTGTTCCTAAGATAGCCTTAAAATATAAGCTAACCTATAAACAACACACCAGTTTTACTGTGCTTTTTTAATAAGGTATTTTCCAGTTAGCCTACAGTTTGAAGAGGTGCTTAGATGTCTTGTGTTTACTTGTGCTATTACAGAGCTGACTGTACAATCACAAACAGGATGTAACGGGACGATTTGCTGGAATCGCCAAAATGTCTCTCACTACCTATCAGTTTTGGGTAACACTTTACAATAAATCATATACTTAGGTCATGTTTAACTAATGCATGACTCATGATGATGTAACACATACATTATTGCAAAATGTATCATGAGTTTATGCTACTCACCATTCACAAATGAACAAGTCACTGTGGCTTTCTGTGATTAGTTCAAATGTAATATATCCCCAATTAAGTAACATTAATTCACACTTATTTCATACATTTAATTGATGTCAACAAATTAAATACATTCTAACTAGGCAAAGATTAATTTCAGATCTGTATATTTTCTCATGGAAATATGAAATAATGTGTTTTTGCAAAAAATAAGTGATGTGTAATATGTATTAATAAAATTATAAAATCAAAATAATTTAACAGGTGCAATTTGACAGATTTGACATAATGCTGACATTTTGTTACTGGCCTTGCTATAATTTGTGTAGTCTGTTTTTCTAACATATGTGACACAACTGGGTCATGCATCAACAAGCAAAAAGCTTAATATTTCCATTAGAATAGGTATTGTTCTTATAGAGAGGCTGATCAATATGAATGTGAAATGAGCCTTTGTGCTACTGGGATGCATCTAATTTGGTGGCATATCAATAAATGTTTGACTTAAATGTGAATTAATCAACCTCAATTGATGATCTAATAACTCTGAGCTAATCACAGTAGTCAGGGTAACTTGATTGTTTATTGTAATGTGTTACTCCGTTTTGTACAAATAGTCCAAATATTATTTGTCTTACAAAGTCAGATGTACAAATGATAGACTTTAATAAACTTCAGCAATATTTTATTTAATGTGTATCCTATTGGTTTTTACTTGTAGTGTCTGTCAAATACCACAATCCAAAGCATGGTAATAAATAAATTACAGTCACTGCCCTGTAAAATAACAATAAAATAATGGTGTCTCTGCTGCCAGTATTTTACAGTGAAATTAACTATTTCTGTATTTCTGTATCTTTAACGTCATGGATCATGCGTAAAATTAGGCTGTTGATTACTACTGATGTCTGAGTCCTGCATAAGGGTGATTCGGCACAAATTAATTTTGATAAAGATACCGGCGTGCTTGCAATTGGCATCGAAGAGTGACGCCGAGTGAACTTCACTTTAACGCAAAGACCAGAAAACTTCCTCGATCATATCAGTAGCCTAAAACAAAAAACAAGAACAAATATTCTTCCCACACAGCCTGCGAGTGAAAACAAGGCAGCTTATGTTTTGTTTAAAGTGTCACAGTCAGTCCTTTTTGTGGCACACAAGGGACTTGGCTTTCCTTCGCATATTTGCAAAACAGAAAACAAAATAGGCAATTAATGTATGAATCATAACACTCAGGAATACACAGGTGTAGCCTATTCACACAGGAGGGTGCACATAGTAAACTCGTCTCTCGCTGCTCTCCGTGCCTCCGTGGTGCTGAAATACGCACACCACCAGTTACTTTTCATTTGCATTTTTCTCTTATTCATGTTCTTACTTATAGTAATAATGGTTTTAAAAAGTTAAATCCCCTGCGTTATAAATGTTGCATAAATTTAGCCTGACCTCGAAAAAGTGGGTGGGGGGGTGGGGGTTAAAATACATATCTGCGCGCTCCTAGCCTACCTGTTTTGCAAACACGGTTATATCTTCACTGAAGGAGTTGGATGAGCAGACGTCTCCACCTGCCACCCCGGGTTCTCTGGGCGTGCAGGTCGCCAGTTCGCACTTCTCGAACACCAGAGCCAGAAGGGGGAATAAAGGGTGGCTGCAACACAGACGAAGATAGGCCTTTTTGACTGTCATTGTTAGGCCTGGACACAGAATATTACTATAGTACATCAAAGCAGAGGCATATTACATATCGCATTCAGCTTGGTGACTTTAATAAAGGAATTCCGCGGTGTCAGTGATGGCAAACATTTATTTATTCCTTTTTAACGCAAGGGAACTAATGCGCCGCTGTAATCAGATCATTTCTGTTGTTTCCAGTGCAAACGAATTTATTCTCGATGCCACGGAACTATAGCGCTTTTTTGTCTTGTTTCAAGCCACAAATAATTAGATCAATAGATCAACATAGGCTATAACCAAGGCCTACATCAACAGTTAATGAATCCGTTTTACCTCATGAGCAGAATATAGCATATTATTAGCCTATTTGTAAAGTAAAAACAGAATTGTATGTATGACGTCATTTTGCTTAATAGGTGAAAGGGATTTTAACTTTTGTGCCTATTTAATAACCAAAGATGCTGCTGATATCGCCTCCCAATATAAAAATATAACAACAACAACAACAATTATTATTATTTCCACACCCATAGATTTGGTCCTTGTCTCTCTTCAGTGCGTCGTCTACTGCGCTGCCCATGCTGGGCGTGATGTGTGGCGCGTGGGCTCCATAGTGCTGCGTCGGGTGCAGGGGTGGCACGTAGTTCAGGTGGTGGACCTGTGGCAGGGGCCTGGTGGCGTGTGGGTCTCCGTACATGGAGGATGGAACTACTCCGTCCATCGCGCCTCCATAATGAGCCAGTTCATCGTACTGTGAAATTGAAGATGGCATTAAGACATGAACATGGCTGGAGACAAGTAGAGGAAACAAACGTTTTCATCTAAATTAATAAACGGAAAACCTGGGTTAGTGTTGCTTTATCCGTTTATAATAACAACAATAATACTGTGTTTGTGTTAGTGTGTTTACTGTATTCAGTACCTACATGACCCTAGCACAAACCTAGCACGCTCGTTAAACTTGTAGAGACTGGGGAATGTAGATATAATTAAATTATTTGCCGAATTATCCATTTTTGTTATGTAAAAGTACATAATACTTTTATGCATGAGACAATTGGCTACCTGATTCTGTCTTAATTAAAAATATAAATGATCTCAGTTGAAAAAGAATAACCTTGAGCAATGAATTTTAAGAATGTAAATTCTAAAAAATCATTTATCTAATTACCCTTTGCGCCATCTCCTTGCGCAATTTCCAGCCTTGTAAAGAGAGGCTTAGTGTTGATGAGAAGTTGATTTGAAGACTTTTATATCCAAGAGGGAATTATAATCCGGTCCTATGACATGGAGTAAGTCAATAATAACTGAAATCAATGCAAAGTGAAGGAAAACATGTGGGAAACAACATCTGTCCTGACGTTACCAGCAGTTCATTGAAAACTGACCAACTTCTTATAAATATAAGTGCTTATCTTATAGATAGTCTGATGTTAGATCCAAGCATATCCCTTTCACTGAAATGACGGTCCGCGACTCAGATCTTTCCTCTCAGTGTGGCCTGGTCCCCATGTCTCTGCGCGCCGACACACTCACTGTTTGCAGGTCTGCTGCGAAGCCGCTTATAGGAGCTCCCTACAGGATACGCTGATGACGGAATATGGAGGGAGGGTGTAATCAGCCCGTGCCTCTGCTAAGTTTTTAAACGTTGTCTTGCTGACATTACTTTCAACATAAACCAAAACTGAACATTTATTGATCCTGTAGAGAAAACAGGTAGTTTCAGCATCAGAAGGAAGCGCACCAATAAAATAGCCGATAAAACGGACTGTGTCGTCATTACAGACTGTACTATGCCCTTTGCTTGTGTCGTTGTTACTATGGCCACTGGAGGCTCCTTATTAATTAGGCTGAAACATGTATCAATAGTAAGCACCTCCTGAGGATAGTGGAGTTTGGCACCACAAAAGCTTAACTAGGATCCTTATAACAACCTAATCCTGCAATGGCGCGAAAATGTCCAATTCCATAGTGAAATAGTTTTAGAAAATAATTAATAAGGAATGTCACTTGTCATTTGCTTGTTTGAGGCCCATTGCAGACTGAAGGCTAGTTCTGAACAACCACTGAGACTAAATACTCTTAAATGATTTCAGAAGCCGTAGGCCTACTTTAGTTACCAAACTTGAATAGTGAGCAGTGAGACATAATTTTTCCTTTTTTTGTTTGTTTTGTTTTGTTTGTTTGTTTTGCATTCCAAGCATATGGCCTATTGGTTAACTTACTATCAGTGTCATTTTCATGATTATTTTTGCAGGAATAATGGAGAGCTGACTTATCTAATTAATTTAGCTGTACAGTATAAATATGTGTTTTTTGACCCTAAGGTGACATGTGGCATGATGTTCATTGTGTTGAATTAAAATGAATGAAGTAAATTCTGCCTATTTTGGAACTGAATGAAAAGCATTGGCTGCCTGGAAGAAAAACGCCTTCAAAACTAAATCATTTTTTGGATTGCATCAGTAGGCTAATGTGAAATAAACATTATTGTAAGTTAAATATACAGAGCATTTTTATACAGTCATAACTGAAACACTATAATACTGTCTGTAATCTAATGTTTAATAAAAGGCCTTCTGGTTAAATGTACCTCCTTCTGTTATATGTAGCATGACCTAAGGACTCAAAAGGAGAACTCAGAGACAACCAGAATAGTTAAAAGTAAGGTCAGATAAGCTCTAGAGCAGAATGAATTGTACTTAGCAGTGTGGATGACTGAAGCTGGGCTGAGTATATGGCATGAGCAGTGGGATGGCAGCATGTAGCTGGCAGGTGGATCAGGCAGCAGGAGCAGAGTTGAGCAATAGAACAGAGTGGGTGAGTGAAGTTAGGCAGGCCAGCAGAGCAGTATGATACAGAGAGCGGCTCAGCAGGTGGGGGTCGAGCTGAAGGGCATTCACAATCAATTCAATTCAGTTTTATTTGCATAGTGCCAAATCAGAATCAGTGCAATGAGTGAGTGCATTCAAAATAGGAAAATATGTGCAATCAAGTAGGAA